AGTTATTTCTTGAAAAAATAATAAGTCAGTATGTTTCGCTTTTGTTGTCAGTTGTCATTTTTTAACTGCACCCTTTTTAATGCTATCCCCTTCTTTTAGGACCGTAAACACCATGATAGGTACATTAACTGAAAAAAATGCAGTATTGTTGATTATCACGAAGTTCTACAAAATATATCATTTAGAAGTTTGCAACCTGGATCTTTGGGAAGTGACAATATTTGACAGTCCTCACAGTGCCGACGTCTCACCGATTCTTCCTTGACACTAAGGCTGATGTTATCCCCGTTACAGGACGTGCTTCAAGTTGTCAACGGAACTTCGAAGCTCAGCATGGCACCGGTGATAAAACAGACACAATGCTTGCGATTCACATTAAGTTTAGAGAATTTTAAGTACAAGTTTGGATAATGGAAAGTGAGAGTCGAAAGCCAGAAACCCATAATCCCTTGAGAATGCAACTTATATTTGCCCAATTTCCCGTCTAATACAAGTACCTATAACTTATCTGTACAGATAAATACACTCCGGGACATTCTTAAGAAGGAGGACTGCAGCAAACGATGAGTACCATGAATAGAGTGCATATGAAGAAGGCTACCACTTACACAGGAGCAATAGAAGTTTCGGGACCGGGAGTGGTAGGGATTTTAGGGAAGCGTGCAGTGCGGCAGGAAGCTTCGATGTCTGCCAAAGTCTTTCCAGCAGGAAGAACAGCGGTGTTAGATTTGGCCTTGCTTGGAACTGGAATAACTTCAGAGCAATCAACAAGATCGTGAGCGTTGTGACCAAGGATAGACATCTTAGCCATGGCAGCTTCGAACTTGGCGACCATTGCAGCGTGGTTGTCTATATGGATTATCATCATTAGATGACTTTTCGCTTCAGGGCTTGATGGAATGTGTACTTACTGACGAAGGATTGCCATTCACAGGCGGTTCTTGGGTCACGAGCGATAGCCGCATCGGATTGAAGACGAAGTTCACCAGGGAGTGGAGAGAGAACTTCACCAACTTGAGAACCGTTACCAGGGAACGCAACACCCTTCAAGAGAACCTCAGCATAGACTTGAGGATCGAATGAGCTTGGAGTGGAGTCGAAGGGAGAACCCTACAGGTCTTGTTATCAGCGTGAGATTCCATGAAATGAATGAAAGAATACTGACATGAATAGATGGGTCAACATGATCTTGAGCGGCAACCGAGTGAGAAGCAAGAAGAGCGACGACTTCATTGGGAGATAACCCAGCGTCACCCATACGTTGCAAAATCTTGGTAACGGAATCAGTGGGCTCTGGTACAGTCAGATCTTGAGCAGGGAACGTATGGTTGGAACGTCCTGCGAGGAACTGAAGTCTGGGACCACCCGCACAGTTGGAAACTCCAACAGCACCAGCAAATTGGATGCTATGAATAACAAGATATAATAAGCGTTGGTGTTCAAAGGTGACATATATGGGAGATTAAAGATGCTCACAAATCACCGAAAGAAACACCATGCTTAATGGCGAAGGGACGTTGGACGTCAACGATATCGTCGGTTCCGAGGTTAGCATCTGAATAATTCTGGTGCATGAGCGCTGTAGCTTCGGGATTGAATGAAGGGGTTTACTGACGGAAGTTAGTCTCAATGTCAGAGAAGGCCATGATAGATCCATCTGTAGGGCTGTGTCAGTAGAGTACAGTGTCATATCGCAGATGGAAGTTCCATACCAGCTCCACCGCCGCTGCAAGATCAACGAGTTAGAATACTGTTGTCGGAATAGCTCAGAATTAGGGTAACTTACGCATGAGGGTTAGTCTTGGAGAATCCGATGGCATCATGGAAAGTGAGCTGTAGGGATTGTCAGGTCCATGCACGATACGAGTACAGATATTCTAGTAGACCTACACGAAGAGATTCGTGTACTTCTTCGCCACACTCGCCGCCGTCGAACAAATTTTCTTGAATGTCGTCCAAGACGTCGAACCACTTGCAGCACTATATTAAGATAGACGTCAATGATGAAGCTCTCCTTCGTCGCAGAATGTGTGGGTAGACGTACCACAGCGTTGCTTGCTGTATGTCCATTGCTGCAGACGGCCTTCTTAGAAGGAACAGCCGAAGCGACGAGAGCGAGAGAAACGAGAGCAAAGATAGTCTTGAAGGCCATTGCTAATGTGAAGGGGCGGCTGTCTTGGGTTTTGGGGAGAGAGAGAGACTCGAAGAGTTCTTGCGATTGAGAGAAGCAAGCGACTGCAGGAGAGTGCTGGAGAATTGAGGGTTCATTGCGACTGCTTATATCCTCGTTCACCTCTGGGATACCTATGCAGTAAATTATCAATCATTCACAGGACTTTGCCAGATGACTCTTCATTCCCTCCTCGGAGGGCCAATGCTATGAACAAGCCGCTAACCCGCCATACACATGTGAAGGATTAGGACTCGTCGGTCGTCGGTTGACATCCGCAATCCCAAGAAACGCCATACCAGTTCCCCACAGGACTTGCAACATTAAGATGCATCACGTTTCGTCGCATGTGCCTTCAAGATCCTAGTGATGTAGAAGACCATGCCCTGACTACCCGAAGGCGGGGAGTGGTGAGTATCAATGCTGGTTGAACAAAGATGGCTTACCATATGTGGAATGTAGCTGCCACTTTTGTCGAATGACACGGACTTGATAACTCTCACAGCAACTCCGAGGGACAGGTAAGCAATGATCCCTGGGACATTTGCCGTCTACCGAGAGGTGGGTCTGACTCTTTCATGTTTTGTTCATTTGACATTTGGAATTTAATGTGTCCCTGGGCCCTAGGAGCGTACCATGGAGCGGGGTCGATGCGTGGGTTTACGAGTAGTACCTGTGTGATGAAATCCACCTAGAGTATTAGGAATGGTTTTGAGCTGGTAACATCGGAACAGGAAGCGTCATTAGCAAGGTACGATACCTGGATGGGGGGATAATAATATAGCAGCATGACTTCATCGCGTAAGAAAGTGTATTTGAGTATCCTTAGCCTCGTGAAATTAATTATTCTCTTTTTTTAAATGACGACCTATTTTTTCTTCATGGGCCAAGAAAGCTATTGTCAGAGTTCCTAGCAAAATAAACACAAAGGAAGGTAAATACACATCAAAGATTCCATTTCACGATCCCTGGATGTCAAAGATGAAGATGCGACCTCGACATTTAGACAGATGTTAGAACGACTGCCAATGAACCCTTTCGCCATCTGCATGAATTTTTCAGGATTGCTTCAGTAAGAAACGGGACTTTTGACTGCCTTGAGAGTTTTCAGATTCTGTAGAAGTTGGGTGTTGGAGAACGTTCAACGAATACAAAGCCTGAGGTCACGGTGGCCGAAGCCAAACAGTCTGACAGACGCCCCATTCTTCGTCCATTGGAGTCTAGATTTTGTTCCCACGCGAGTGTGTCACCAATCTTGAATCCGACCTGTTTCTTCCTTTCACCTCTCTCACATCCAGAAAACACAGGTTCAACGTGATGAAATCATTTGGTGAGCAAAAAGAACAGTAACCAATGATCGAGTGTTGATTATATTGCAACACAGACGTCAGTCGTAACAGGACATGTTTCACTCCGGCGGTAGGTGATGCTTACCCACAAACTATCCGAAACCGTTTACATAGGGCTTATGGCTAGTGATTCGAAAGCATGGTCAGAAATCGTTGTAACTAAGTGTAGTCTACAGCACCCGAATCCGAAGCTTGGTCAACTGTAACGTGAACAAGCTTCGTTGGACGAATGATATCACCAGTCGGATGCAGAAGAAGAGTCCCAAGATTTAGTCTTTAAAATGGGAGTTGAATTTCTTGGCAACATCCAAGGACTAAATCGTGATGGTGATGCATCTCTTCATCCCAACTGTTACCCTCAGTATGCACCGTCTCAATTCCACTCGAGTCAAGTTGCACGACGGCCTCCGGTGTACGATTGCCTGTAGAACCCGACTTTCAGTTTCGTGCTTTCTCCCCCGATGTAATGGTCAAAACAACTCGATCCACGAGCGGAATATGGACCGTACTCACGGAATCGTATTAGAGCGGCGGACGCCCCGATTTTGCCGTGGTTCACAGATACACGTCCCTGCACGGCGACGTCGGAGGGAATGGATGGGTCGTTTTGCAATTGTGGTGGGATACATTCTATCAATCTATGACCATCGGGGAACACTAAATCAAATGAAATATTTAGGAGAGAATACTTGCTGAAGTCTACAGTGCTTCGCCCTTGAAGCTTGTAAGGTCTAGACGTCCGACGTGTAAGAATCAAAACACTCTCGTCGGAATTCAGGAACATCTAGTATTGCCTGTGAAGCCCTTCTGTCGATATTGTCCTGAAACCACCGCGGTGAAGCCGATATGACAAAACGGCGAGTAGACTAAAGGCACTAGTTGTCTAAACCGTTTCAATCTGATTGTCACTCTTTTCCTTCACAAGCCAATATCGGGCAGTTCACAAGTGTCAATATGCTTGAAAGCACAATTGCAATATGTCAATCAAATTCATCTCCCCGATTCTCACCCTTCCCATGATCCTGCATGCGATATATATCCTGTCCTTCTCCTCAAGAAGTAGCAGACACAATTATACTCATCATATTGGTCCAGACGGTTTGTATGAGCCCTTGCAGAATTTGCAATGTTCTCAGGCTCGGTGAGACCAAAATTGTGAGCCTCGCGCGCTCGGTTCGTATGGCGAACATTGCTGAGGGAAGATTCTCTGCCGAAACACACATCATTCATGAATCCCGACAAAGCAGTACGTCTCCATCAGTCACTTGTCAGGACCACTTGACCATGACCTTGTTTTTTGACTAGGTATCTTCCCTCCTCGAGGGGATCCCCATTGTGGCTGTCTATTCCACCACAGGGAACAAGCTGATTCTTTCAGAAATTTCCAAGTAAATTGGTGCTTTCGAAGTACTCAATCTACTGAAATGCCATCTCCTCGACACTGCCAGAGCCGTTTGGTGGATACCTTTTCCTGATCGTCATCGGATATGGTGTAACGGCTAACATTATCGCCTTTCACCTTGTGATCGCGATAGCTCGGGGTTCGATTCCCCGTATCCGAGTACTCTTTTACCAAAGTTTACAAGGAATTTCTTTACAGTGCTCAGTGGCTAAATATAAGGCTTTTCAGGTCTTTTTATACATGTTCAGTCCGTTCATTATCTCGTGCGCCTACACTACTCTGTTTGTTTATCTTGGCACCTTGGGCAGCATAGCCTCGAGCGTCAAATTTCCGAGGTCAAACAACACTCAGTCCAAAACTCAGCCTGACCTTCAGATGCTCCGTTACCTTCAACTCTTCCCCGCATATTGAGTTGGGTAAGTACATGTTACTTTCCCTCCAAAGAGGTGATTCAGTAGACTGAGATCCTTTTGCTATATTGATCATGTCGAGTACAATTTACCCTCAACCAAGAGTCTTTCCTCAGGAAATCTTCGACCTCATCATAGACTTTTGTTCCCAGTTGCCTGTTGTAGAAGATGACAATACCTATCACTGGCCGCCATGGGATGCTCGCAGAGGTCCTAGAAGTACAACGCTCCATGCATGCTCTCTGACTTGTCGTTCATGGACTTTCAGAAGTCGCCTATATCTTTTCCCCACCATTCACATTCATCGTAATGGGGAATTCTCTCGGTTGATCACAGCCCTTCGTAACGCACGACATCTTGCCAACCGAACTGAAACTCTCATGCTTCATAATGGGTCTGTTGAAGAACAGTCTTCTATACTCTCATCGTCAGTCACAAACTTGTCGGATGATAGGATTGGGATCAATATGATCCTACGCAAAGCATTCCGTACTCTTCCTCATCTGACCGCTCTCGAAATACGGTTCATGCCATCCACCTACCATTCCTCTATACCGACATATTGCACTGGATTTAAACTTGTCCGTCGATTGACCCTTCATGCCACGGACTTCATCAACTTCCATAATTTCCGTCGATTCGTGTCGGCTTTTCCATCTCTCGCAGTTCTCTCGTTAACTCGAGTCAAATGGGACGTTGGACCTCTATCCATTATTTTGTTTGCCTCGATGAACAAAATTCCCCGCAGCCAATCTCTCTCATTGGCGCACATTCGACTCTCTGAAATCGACGTTTCCACAGTTACGTCTCTGCTCGCTTGGGTCGTCACTACGCAGTCAATTCAGTTCATGAGACAATTCTCATTATTTGTTGAACTACCAACACTTACTCTGGAGACGTCGGAAACTATATGCAGCTTTTTTCGAAATTCGACATCGCTGGTGTTTACACATGTGCCGTATTCAGTATTTGAATACCTTGGTGAGTATCCGTTCTTTTCGTTTGTTTTAATTGAGATTAAATATCAATTCTTAGTATTGAACAACGGCTTCGAGATGTTACAACACGAACAGGTTCTCAGCGTCGACTTTATCGATGTTGCGAACACCTCATCCTTCGCAACGCTTCTGTCACAAACTCAATTCAAGAAGGGAATTCAAAGTTTGTCGTTGTCTTTTGTTACGACCAAATGGGAGCCAGATTATTCATCGTGGAACACTCTGGACAACGTGTTCGCTTCTAAACCTTACGAAAAGGTCTTGGTGGCCATCACGTTCCAAATAACTCCTCCTAGGGTTGATTCTATTGAGCATGATGAGAAAATGGAGAAAGAGGAGATCATAAAGATGCTTCCGAAGTCTGCTGCCAAGTTACAGTATTGGAGGTTTGATTGGATGTAAATCTTGGCGATATGTATTTTCTGCGCCAAAATCCACGCATTGAATTATTGAATTTGATGCTGAGGCTGATCAACTGACTTAGTCTGAATGCATCGGACAATGTGTTTGAATTTCTGACGCGCAGAGACTCAGAGAATTGCATCCACACCCCAGAAACGATGAGTCGGACTATAATGACTTGTAAGTTGTAACTGTCTACATTTGTTAATATATTATTTTCAGAATTATTCACGTTTCTGACTCCAGACCTGATGCTGCATGCAACAGTTTACGTACAAATCCTTCACTTGCACGAACGACGGACCTGCAGGCCACTATGACTTATTCTATTCTCTCATTCATACCCATGATTCAAGATGCCGATTCTTTCTCCACTCGAATTCTTTGGCCGCTCAGAAAACCAATTTCATGACACTGAAGAACACTCCGATAACTGTTTCCAGGAACAAAGTCATATATGCGACACATCTGACCCTCTGATCAGAAAAGTCGAATCGCTATGCCGTGGGGCATCGTTCATTGGTGTCAAGGCTTTCTGGATTATGCTTGCATCTTGTCGCTTATTCTCAGTACATTTTCCAGATTTCAGTAGTTCAGAGTGAGTAGTATCATATTATGCAGTACGCAATTTTCTACAAGGCTAAGATGGGTCCTAGGCTACAGTACGGTCACTAGACAGTCTACAGTGCTCTTTGATAAATACGTCAAACCTGCCCTTTGGTTCCAACAGCAATTCATTGATGAGATATCTGGAAGACATGCTCCAGTGCACATAGAAGTTTTGCCACCAAGCAGTAGATATCAGACACGTATAATATCCACCACATCTGATAATTTTACCAGGTGAAGGAGTGATCGCAGAAATAGGTATCTACAATAGGGTAACCGACGAGGAGGAGGAAGGGGAATTTACATTGGAAGAGGCTCACTGCCTCATCTTGTTCATAGTTCGTCGCAATGTATTATTAGGATGAACCGCAACTGACCGTAAATTGTCAGTCCCCGGGTGCTGTTTGTTGGCGTGATTTCTGGACCAAGAAAAAATCATTGTACTGCCAAACTAACTCCGATATCGTTGACCTACTCCAGCAAACAATCCCTCAAAAGGCGCGTTCTGTTTTGATTACGGACGAATACCATGCGGTTTTCGTGGGTGAAGCAGATTGGGCTATTTGCTACCATCACTACTGCCTATCTCGAGGAGTTCCCCTCCTCTTCCTCATCGGATTAATCATACATAAGGTATCTCGAGCTTTGGCTTGGGAACCTCGACAATTTTCTCTTCAAGTGCAAGGAGCCTTGAATCAGTGCCCCGTCCCTGGAGCACTCATCTCGCCACCCTCAGCAAAACGTCCAACCTCATTTCGAGACTTCGACCTCTTCACCCTACAACGAAGCCTTCCGGATTTGAAGAAATTTCTAGAATGGAAACGAGAGGAAAATGCTCGGTTAGAGTCTAACCCCCTCCAGGTAGGCAGCACCCTTCGGGTCAACGTGAATGCATTTGCAGACGAGGTGTTTCCGTGGCACTCCTCCTTCTCATCTAGTCCTATATCCGAAGAGTCTCGACAGTTTGTGACCCGTTGTCCTCGTCTCCGAAACCAGCAGGTTGATGACATTCTTTCATCCGGAGATTCACTCGTTTCATTCAGAATTACTCGCATCATACCTCATGACTCGGACTCTCTTTCCCGGGTGTTCTTTGGAGTTCATGTCGATGACAATGGTCATGAATCCACTCCGATTTGCCTGAAGCTTCTGCTGGAATGTCTTTTCCCAATCGACGAAGAAGATTTGTTTCGTCGGTACCACAACGAGTATCCCAGCAAAGATCCAGCGAAGAGGTTGTCATCATTGCATTTTGCAGATGACATGCTTCGTCGAGAACAATTTGCCTATGAACGACTCAAGGAATTTCAAGGTACCTTGATACCCCATTGCTACGCCTTTCATTCTGTGAGTAGTGATTCCTAACCGTGACCATTTTATTCTATTTTCCTTATTTTGCGTGTTCTCAGTTTTCTTTGGAAGACGAAACAAAAGCGTATGGTGTCCTCCTAGAGATCATCCCAGGGACAACCATCGGTAAAGCGATGGTGAAAGATTGGTCTGTTGACCGTCAAGCAGGATTAGTATGTATGCCCTCTTCTTCAAATTTATCGTCCCATTATTAATAAAAACCCCAGACGCGACATCTGCTTAAGGACACTTTTATATTCAGGAATTGACAGGAAACATGTTGATAGGGGTCAGATTCTTGTGCCAACAGGGAGTGAATATGACCCAGAGAAAGACAGTCTTGTTCTCATCGACTTCGCATTCTCTGATCCTCGCCTTGGAGATGAACAAGCGCATAAAGTTATGGCATCATTCAACGGAAATACTTGGGGCGGACATTCCGAGATGTTATACGGACTGGGAGTCCCAGACGATGTCTGGAAACGTGAATGGGCACCGCTGGAATTACTGGAAATATAGTGATACAACGGTTGGTATATCGCGCGATAATTTTGATCGAGTTGACAAGTCTTGTGGCAATAGATGTTTCTTGTGTAAGGAATCCTTCCCTGGTTCGTGTAACGTGTAGAATATTTCACGATAAGATAATTTGTTGGTAGAGTATTGACCGGGGTTCGTAAATGAAATCAGCAGTTGGAAAGGTGAGATCATCCCCCAAACACACACGTATACCGGATATAATTCTCCGAAGCCTCGCGTGCGCAATGTCGTCGCCTCAACATAAGAGTCATTGCGTGGTATTCGTTGCACTCGATGTTGTTTCGTTACTTGTTTTCGAGAATATGTTATGTTACATGTACAACTTGATTTCGGTGTTGAGATGTATGAGTACCATTAGTCATACTAAATGTGGTTGATTGTGGTTCGAACCTAGTAGGAAGATAAAATAGTGGTAATAAACATCCACTCATGTCTGTAAGTGCCCCAAGGGATTCGAAACACCAACGCCTCCTGCCACAGTACTATTCATTACCGCTTTCGGATCTCGCCTTTTTAACTTCACGTTCCTCATCCACTGGGGTAGAGTTATCTCCACTTTGTTGACCCTGTTGCACCTTAAATGCTTCCAATGCTTTCTTATTCTTGAGTCTCGCCAACTCCCTTTGCGTCAAAGTCTCTCCTTCTGTCGAATCTCCTTCGGTAGCTTTCTTTGTTCCACGTCTCTGGGTTTTCATAGGTGCAGTAGAAGGAGGAATTCCAGTGACCGGATCCAGAAGTTCAAGGGAAGAGAGATCCGTATGTTTGGGGAGGGATTGAAGGGCGGAGTAAAGTGCAAGGGTTTGGAGATCAGAAGATGTCGCTGCAATATATCCGTTGTCAGTGTGCAGAAT